TCGTTTCTTTATGACTTATTTTGCATATCGTAAATTAAATATTAATGAATTGATTCCCCTTTTAAAGGTATCCAACATAGAGAAGCCAAAATGCAAATTATAGGGGCAAGATTATTTCTAGGAAATGATTATTATCAACAAATTAGATATATTATCAAAGAAAACAAAGTCATGAAGTTTCGACATTCATGATTATTTTGAAATATGTACATAGTGATATCTGCAAGGTTCCTACTCAATTATACTTTGAGATGTAATGATAAGTAGGGAAAAAATCAAGAGAAGTTATATACACAAATACAATTTAAGAAATTAATGGAACCAACTTTTCTTAATCATGTGTTTAGACAAAGTATTTTAACAATTTTCAAGATTAAATAGCTAAGTGGGAGATTGTTAGGGTATATATTATTAACCATCCATTTAGATATAGTACAATTGTGATGATTAAAAGTCTACATATGAAGATTGTTGGGATATATGTTATTAACCATATGTTAAGGTATAATACTTATTATAGAATAAATATTTATTCAGTTTTAGTAGATCATATATTCGTTTATGGTGTATGTCTACTTATAAAATAGATGATTTAGTATGTAGAGTGTTAGCTTATACACAAAGGATTAAATCATCGGTTCTTATAAGTAAAATTTTTTTTTCACAATCTAGGATGAAAATAAGACATGTCATCTGCGATTGTAACACAATATGATATGTACTTTATCTTGATTATGGAAACGATATAATTCCAACTTCTCTTGCTAGTGCATTTTGTATGTATTGAATATAACGGAGCAGAGATAGTTGTTTTAAACCGGCTGACAAAAACATATTCTCTAAAATATTAAATGTATTATATTCTTAATCCTGATATAACTATTATGATTTGTATATATTAATTATCGTTTTGATTTCTTAAAAGGTGAGATTCTGAGATAGATCAATATGCCTGGTAGATTGGATGATAATAATATACGTTGCTGAAATAATAAGTTAGTTGGTAGAAGACATGTTTCATTATATAGATTGATTGATATGCCTTTTTGAGATACTTATAAGATTTCATCCTTTCAAACCTTGCAAGTGGATTTATGAATGCGACACACAAAATAAGTTAAATAGTGCTTTATAAAAAATTAATCATTAAATTAAATTTGTCAATAATTTAATATATTGGTTAGTATATGTAATATTAACATGGAGAATTACACAAGTGTTTAATAGAAAATTTTAAAATTCCTCTAGAGGAGTGCAATTAAGAATTTCTATAAAATTATTTGTAATTTACTATGATAAGAATAATTCAAATTAATTATTCGATATTATTTTCAAAACTAGTTATCCTAGGACTATAAACATTTTGTTTTGTATTGCCCAAGGTTGGGATGTGACCGAAACTAATTGCAATGGCCCACCCGTCAACATAGGTGGAGAAACTAATAATGTTCTTAATAGCTACTTATCTTATATAAGTATATTTCTAATAAGAAAAAATTGTCCTTGAAATCATGTATCAATGGAAATATCTAAACACTTTGGCTGAAATTTTTGAAGTTTAGAAACTACTGTCATTGATTCACCTTTAAACTTTTTGTATCTTGGAGCTTTGCAGAACTTACAATATTTCAATAAATCATACAATAATATTGACATGCAAGCATTTTTTGTATTCAAGTCCGTTATCATTCAAAAAAAAAAATTCATCATTAATGGAGAGGAATTTATAAAGTTGCATTCAATATTTACTAATGAGCACCAACTAAATTCAAATGACAGGTATCAAATACATAAAGAAGTCATTAAGTACTATTATAATGTCACGACCTAGACCGTCGTAATTGACACTCACATTACAACTCGGTGGGAGAACCACTACTAGCAACCAACTAAAGCAAAAAATCTAAAACTAAGATTTTTAAGTTACGGAAGTAAATTAAATAGCTTAAGACAAGGTTTCATTACTAAATAAGGATGAAATAACGAACTAGCAATGCGGAAAAATAAACCAAGAATCGGAAAGTCAATGTACCAAAACTATAACGATATTCAACTAACATAATCTCTAATCAACTAAATAGTAACTAAAACTATATCGAAGTCCCAAATGGTAGACATAGACCAAGGAGAGTTCCTTGGCAGCCCGAACATTGTGGCTCACCCTTGAACTCGGAGCGATCAATGATCTACTATGCTAGGTCTTTCAACAGTCGAGTGAAGATGTCCTGTACTCAACAAAAATAAGACCAAGTGCAGAATCAATACACAATCATAGTGTACTGGTATGATCACACGACTATCCCACTAGTGCAACATAAATAAGTCAATACAATAACACTATTCACATGCTTTCACGTAGTTAGTCCTCTCACGGAACTCAAAGTCAACTTGTTGGCTTGCCAACACGTGACAATCCGATCAAATTTTATGTCGGAACGTGGCAATCTAATCCTCAATCACACACCACAATCACAATTACAAGTACATCTTTAATGATCATTCACTAGTTCATGATTTCATGGTAATGACAATCACACATCACATTTTCAAAGTCTATGATCAATATTGCAACATGCATAAATAAACAAGTATCACAATGAAGGAAGACAAACATATACCACACATCATAGAATCACAACTATCACCTACCTAAAAACAAGATTGAAACCTAAACAACTTCATACTTCCATTTCCGAATTTGTTCCTCTTGTTCGTGGCCTACAATCAACCATTTATTTACGGAAATCAATAAGGAAACACTAAATTCCCTGAAAATTCACAATCTATGAACCCTAGTTAAAAATCCATGACTCCAACTAGTCAATTAAGGTTAATTCCACTATAGGATTCTTCAAGAATTCCTTTCCTATTAATATTGACCCATTATAAAATGTTCTACGGATCGAAAAATAAGTTAGGGGAGTGAAAATCTTACTTCTAGCTTCAAGATAGTGGAAAGTGAGTTAGAATAGCCCAGGGGTCGATTCTTAGCCCAAAAAGTCGTAAATAACAAAATAAGGTTGTATAAGGGTTTTATTTACGAATTTTAAATCAATCATCCCGCTACAACAACACTAATTCCGCTTTAGTGGCGTCGCTGCAGCGACACTAATCCCACTGCAGCAGCACAAAGTGAACCAGTGAGCTTCTCTTGAAAAATCTCAAAATCTTTTCATTCCATCTCCACTTCGCCCGCTACAGCGACATCACTTCCGCTATAGCAGCTATAGTGACACGAAACGAGGTAGTGAGATCCTTAAGAGAATTTCAGTTGTCCCTTTTTACAGCACCCTTTGAACTCATTACCTCAGAAAATGCCCTAAACGCCAAAATAAATTCCCGATGATCTACTTATCCGAATTCAATTTCGTAAAGCCGCACGAATTTGTAAATGAATTAGCTAACCAATTATGTAATCAAATCCATATTTAATCTGTCTGTTTGCTACCGAATTTCCTGGCACCGTGATAATTCTAAATTCCTTCAAATATGGACAAAGTTGTGAAAGTCCTAGTACTATGAAAATGTTTTTGTAGTCTCAATTTTTTCCCATTGGCATTTCTATAACGACGAAACTCAATCGTTATGTATATATGTAAAAAATTATGGTTCAAACAAGTGCTTCAAGATTTGGTTAAAAGAGATTAATGAAGAAAAAACGAGACCATTCATTAATGAAGATGAAAACGCAAGGACGCAAGGAATCAACTTTTTCATAATGTTTGATAACTTAGTACAAGATTTTATCAACATCATAAAACCTTTGTGTTAATATTTTTTTAAGATAATTGATCATTTGGTTTTATTATTTATATATGTTATTTTTAAAAGAAAAGATATAAAGTAACCATTGAAGTTGTCCAGAATTTTTAAAAAGACACTTTAACTTATAACTGTCATATTACCCCACTAAACAATTATGAACCGGTATTATTATACCATTATTTGATCAGCCCCAAATTTAAGAAGCAAGTGTGTTCAAACACCAATCAATACATGACACATGTTAATTCAATTAAAAATGTATTTTTTTTTCATTTTAAGTTTTTCCTTTATTTTTTTCTTTATTTCTCTCTCTCTCTCTCTCTCTCGCTTTTTGAATTTGAAATTTGATTTATTTTAAATTTCATTTCATCTTTCACCTCTCTCCATATTTTTTCTTCACCTCCCACCCCCTATGTCAAATTGAATCTCACTCCATTTTTTTCTTTTCTTTTTCTTCTTCTTCTTCCTTGGTCAGATTCTATTCATACTATTATTTAGACTTTACTAAATTATTGATAACAAAATTAATTATTTTCTAAAAAAATTTAAAATTTTGAAGTATCATCAACTACTCATTTTCATATAAATCCAAAATTAGAAATCATACTTTTAAAAAGAAAAAATTAATTCCCAAAAATTGAAAGATCTAAATTGAAATCGGATAAAACAAAAACTATATGATACTTCCTTGTTATCTCATTAATTTATTTCATTTTTATATAATTTCAAAACTAGAAATGATAATTTTGAAAGAATCGTCCAAAGTTTGAAAAAGTTTAATTGAAATTTGGATTAAAAAACTAAATAATTCCTACTTATCATCTTGAAATTTAATGTGCTTATCAAATTGTTCGAATGTAATAAAATGTGCAAGTAGGACATCGTCGTGTTTAGACTCATATAATTACGACGAGTAGAGTTGTAAGGTGTAACATGAGTTCCTACATTATTTTTCTATACATGTTATAGAAAACTCATAATTCACTTGATCAGTGCAATTAAAATGCAATATTAATTTACAATAGGTTGTATCTGAATTATATATTGAACCGTTGGTGTTATATGACAATATTCATATCGAAAATTTCTATTTTTGTTATATAATTTAATTTAATTTAATTTTTATATTTTTAGATAATTTTGATAGATCTTAATGACCCTTTATAAAAAAATTATGCAAAAAATGGATAAACAAGCCCAAATGAATTAAACAAAAAGCAACACAAAAGTATCTAGGCCCAATCCGTTAAGAGAACTGGCTAGGGCTTTATAGAATTTTCTTACAAAGAATTTTATCTTTCTTATCCTCCTACTGTCTTCTCATACTTTTTCCATTCCTTGTCTCCTCCTCCATCTCTACAAACTAATAGATCCCTAGTTTTCCATTTCGTTTGGTTGTGGGTGATTCACACCTACCTCTGTTATCTTCTCTTCTTTCTCTGCTCACAGAAGTAATTAGCTACCTCCATTTATATTCTTATTTCTTTCAAGTTCTATCATTATTTAATCTTATTTTTTTTTCATTTTGTAGAGGTATCTTTCAGTGGATGCAGTGGATTCGAAGATAATTTTGAAAGAGGTACCAAGTCATGAGTGTTATTTAAGACATCCTCTGTAAGATCCTCTCAATTTCTACATTTTCTTCTATTTGTTTTCTCCTCTTTAATGTATCTTTAATTTTTTAGATAAATCAGAGACTGAGATATCCAAATGCTTTTGATCTCTTAATCAAAGGCTTTCTTTTCCATCCCAATAATATATATTGCTAATGTTAAATTTAAGGAATATAATATTAGTGTTTATTAATCGATTATGTTAATTTTATACATATTAGACTATATAATGACAGGGAACAATATACTATACTTTGGATTTCTAATCTAATTTGAAATAATTTTTGAAATAACAATGTGGCCTAGATGCAAAAGGCTCTCAAGGCTTTAGATGTGTCCATAATTCCGCATAATGTATCTTGTCTGTATCTTGGAACATACACAATATGGTATTTATTTTTTTATTCCTATGATGATTTTAATATATTGAAATATTATTTACAACTTCAATAATAATATATATTTGTGCTTATTTGCGTCTATTATAGATGCACGTATATGGCAATCAAAGACTTGAACCAAACAAGAATTACTTGGTGTTACAAATAACGTGATTTATATTCTTATATAATTTGAGTGTTTTTATGATTTTATACTAGATATCACGATTCAATCTATTATCTTTGTAAAAGACTCTATTTCCCCAACCCCTTTCCCGCTTCTTAGCTTTGTATGACATTTCAAGACTATAATGTGTCTATTATTGAAAACACAAAGATGATTTAGTGAATTTGTAAAAGGGAGATTGACAATCAAGAATCAACCTAATTAGTTGTCAAGATAGTGTTGCATCATTTATTTTTTACATTTTTATATGTCTTTGTCCCTCATTTTATCAGTTATTTTTATTAGTATTTTTTTCTAAATTTAAATTTGTAGTTTATGTATAGTTTCATACACTTTGTAGGATATTAGAAATTATTGCGAAGACTTCAATATGTTCATCTAGCTTAAGCTTATGGTTCCCCGTCTGACACTCACTTACTTTTTATTCTAGATCAGCAAACCTGTAGGATTCGTAAATCCAATTAGCTCTTCCAAGAGACTCATGCAAATTTCAGAAAAAAGATCTTCAATTTCCTTTTCTCATTCTTCTTTTTTTAGAGGAAGATGTTCCTCTTCTTCAAACAAGAATATTAAATGAAGTGTTTCTTTGATAGAAACATGTTCATTCTTTTATGGAGGAGTGAGTTTATTATAATCATCGCAGTCCTCTTCAGAGGAGGATTTAAACTCCTCGTATTCAGATCCCTTTTCATCTGACTCCACTTCATCAAATTCCTCCTTATTAGACTCCTCATCATTCTAATTTTTAGACTTGTCCATAGAGCATGGCCAAAGATGATCTGTTCGGTCTTTGTTGTGGTTTTCACCCTCAACAAAAAGGTGAGGTACGATTACGACATCATGATCATTCTCCTTTTAAAAACTATCATATATTTCCTCACAAGTTCATGGAATGAAATTCCTCCTCTTGTTACCTCTAGAAGGCTCCATCATTCTTCTTTTCCTTCCAACCTCTCCAATATTCTCAACAACTCACAGAATCCTTTTGACTCCTCGTAATCACTTAGAAGAAGTTGAACTTTTGTTGTTTTCACTCTGAATAGTAAGTGGACTCCCCAATGGGATAACCCAAACGAAAGTCCATTTCTCGTGAGTCCCATCGTCCACCCATATTTCACACCCACATTCACAAGTTGTGTCTCCAATTCTGTAATGGGACTCTTACAATATCTACACAACCATTTTGAAACAAAGTCATCTCCTCAATCCATAAATATGCACCTGAGTCAAATTGCATAATCATTAGTACACTAAAAATTGATCACAAAATAATTAAGTTCATTATTGACTTCCAAAATAAAAAAATATTTGTCATTTTGGAAGTCTAAGACAAACTTAATTATTTTCTCATCAATTATCAGTATACTAATGATTGTGTAATTTGATTCATGTGCATATTTAAGGATTTAGGAGATTACTTTGTTTAAAAATGGTTGTGTCGAAATTGTAAGAGTCCTATTACAGAATTGGATACACAACTTGTGAATGTGGGTGTGAAATATGGGTGGACGATGAGACTCATGAGAAATGGACTTTCGTATGGAAATCCCATTGGTGAGTCGTCCTCTTATTATTAAGGGTGAAAAGAACAAAGTCCCGATTCTTCTAAGTGATGCGAGGAGTCTGAAGAGGACTGTGAAGTTGTTGAGAATATTGGAGAGGTAGGAAGATAAAGAAGAATGGTGGAGCCTTCTAGAGGTGACAAGTGGAGAAAGTTTATTCCAGGAACTTATTAGCAAATATATGATAATTTGGAGGATGAGAGTGACCCTGATATAGTTATTGCACCTCAACTTGTTGTTGAGGATGAAAACCACAACAAAGACCGAACATATCTTCTTCAGCCACGTTCTATGACAAGTCTAAGAATAAGAATGATGAGGAGTCATGAAGAGAAATATGATGATGAGGAGTCGGATGAAGAGGGGGTTGATTATGACGAGTGTTAATCCTCGTATAAAGAGGACTACAATGATCATAATAAACTCACTCCTCCAGAAGATAAGGAACATATTTTGTCAAAAAAAAAAACACTTCTTTAAATATTCTAGTTTGAAGATGAGGAACCTCTTCACCAAGAGAAAGAGGAATGTGTAAAGGAAACTGAAGATCTTTTTTTCTGAAATGGGCATGTGTCTCTTTGAAGAACAATTATCATTACGAATCCATCAGTTTCACCGATGCAGAGTGAAAAAGCAAGTGATTGTCAAATGGGGAGCCATAAGCTTAAGTTACGTGAAAAAATTGGACTCATGATAAGTACAAAAAGGATTGTCTGTTGATTCATGAAGTGAGAGTTCTCTCTTTCTTTAAATTAAATTAATGAATATTGATTATAAATTATGATAATGTGGGATATACTTGATATCTTATGTTAGTTTTAAAAAGTTGTTTTCAACGTATAGTTGATTTTAATCAAATATTTGTAATTAGAAATAAAAATATTACAACTCAATATAATCTCTCTCTCTCTCTCTCTCTATATATATATATATATATATATGTATATATATATATATATATATATATATATATATCTATCTATCTATTTATATATATACACACACACTATTATTATTATTATTATTATTAATATTATAATAATAATAATAATAATAATAACAACAACAACAACAACAACAACAACAACAACAACAACAACAACAACAACAACAACAATAATCACAATAATAATAATAATAATAATAATAATAATAATAATAATAATAATAATACTACTTTAAAAGTATGAACTCACTAACTTTAATGTTAAATTATTATAATAATCCTAACTGAAAACACCAATTTTAGTAAATATGTCGTATTTTTATACAAAATAGTAATTGCATTGACTTTGCAATTAATTTTTTTACTATTATCGATATATTAAAAATAATAGAAAAATAGGTTCTTAAAAAAGTATTAGCAATATTCCAACATGAATTTGATTATTTCATTATCACATAACTCAAGAACCTCTAATAATGAATCATTCACAAAAAAATCATTGGTTCTTTAATCAACATTAAAAGGAAAATAAAGAAGAAAATAAGAATACATATACAAAGGCATTTCGTAATATAAAGAAATACTTATGTTGCATAGAATATAAGTGAGAAATTTCATATGTATGTAAAAATAGAAAATATACAAGTTTATATATAGTAATATAAAGTTGTAACTTTTAATATAGAATATTGAATATAAATTCTTGGAATTGAATACAAAAATTATTTTTTGCACAGTGAATATACGTACTATATGCGTATATGTTCAATATAACTGGAGACAATAACTTTGCAGAAATATAAAAGCAAAGTTCAAAACATGTACTCAAAAATAATAATTACTATCATAAGTATAAATTAATGAATGTAAACGTACTATTATATGTAAAAATAAAATGAAATAGAAAGCAAAAAATTGAGTCAACTCAATGCACAATGTCCCATTAAAAAACTATTCCCCTTCAATACCAGAGGTTTAAAAAATTACATCCTCTCAAGATGAAACAATTTTATTCACCAACATATTGATTAAAAAACAATGGTGTCATTCAGTCAATCAAGAGGAGAAAAGTACACGAATCTTTAATTTTGCGAAAGTAGAAGAAGAAAATCAAAATTTTTGTTTTTTAAAATTAAGAGAAAAAGAAAATTCCTCGATTTATAGACAAAAAAGGATACTGCGAACAACTGTTTATTGTGCCTTATCAGAAAGGTTACAACTATTTGATAAAGTTGCAACCTTTCATATAAGTCACTACATTTCTTTAAGTCACAACTTTTCATTAAAGTCACAACTTTTCATAAAACTTGCAACTCTTTATTAAAGTCACAACTTTTGATAAAAGTCACAATTCTTTATTAAAGTCCCAACTTTTGATATAAGTCACATCTTTTCATGAAACAGAAATTGTAGTTTTAGAAATAAATAAATTTAAAAGGAAGTTCTTTCTTGTGGTGGCGCCACATATGTGATCCTAGGGTTCTCTTATATACAAAAACCAGTAAAATTACTCGCACTTCGTGCGCAAATTTAGTATGAGAGAATTTATAAAATAATAGTTTAAATCTAGCAGTTATTAAAACTAAAACTCTATATTATCTCACATAAAAGATGACGTGGTAACAATCATTTATGATGTAAAGAAAAATGAAATTTATTACATCTTTTCATTTATTCTTACTAATATAAACATAATTTAATGACTAAATAAATTATACCAAGATCTGTAACATAAACAATCATTAGTGAGACCCTCAACAATAACAAAGTACATAAATATTTAGTTGTGAAGAAGAATAAGAGTTATAAAAATTTTGTTATTTTAAAATGAGAGGAAATCTCACTATTTGTAGACAACAAAGGGTAGTGTTCACAAATGTTTATTGTTTCTTATCAGAAAGGTTACAACTATTTGGAAAAGTTGCAACCCTTCGTAAAGGTTAAAACCTTTCATTAAAATCACATATTTTCATAAAAGTGTCAACTCTTCATAAAAGTCACAACTTTTCATTGAAGTCGTAACTTTTCATTTAATTGACAACTCTTCATAAAAGTCATAACTCTTCATAAAAGTTACAACTCTACATTGAAGTAACAATTTCATAAAAGTCATAACTTTTCATGAAAGGAGAAGACTAGTTTTGGAAATAAAATAATTGAAACGGAATCCTGGTTTGTGGTGGCGCCACGTAGGCGGACTTAGGGTTCTCTTGGACATCTATCTATCTATCTATCTATCTATCTATATATAATATAGGATGCCTCAGTAATTAATAATGTGGTTCCTATACTGCACATATTTAACTAGAACTCAAAACCCTAATTCTAAAGGAAAAGGGGGAGAGACAATAGTTTTCTTTTAAAAAGAAAACTAGAGAAAGATGGAAGGTTTCTATTCATACTTGGCCCCCCAAGTATTGAAAGAGTTCGTAAGTGAACTTGGTATCAATGTAGAAGACCATAGTTATTGTCTATCTTGTAGATTCACTTCAAGGTATCTATCTGCTCACGCTTTAATAGGTAATTCTTGAATAAAGTTCAAGTTAGTTTGCGTGTTCTAGCATATTATATGGGTTCTAGCATAAATGATTTGGAAATCTATTATTCATATAAACAATAAGATTCAAATATGCTTTTTCTATGCATATAGTTTTCCAACAACCTCTTCATCTACAATTCGTTGATTATTCTGATCGACCAGTACAAAATGTAGCTCATATATATGACTTTTATTTCAATTTCCGGATCAAAAGGAACAAAAGGAAATTCTTTACTCCTAGTATCGGTTAGAAACTATGGGAATTAAAATGGACAAAAACAACAATCAATGTAATATAAAAAATAAGAGCTACTTAATGATGGAAGTTGTGTTAATTACTTTTGATAATGACAAATACTTTTGATGCCATCAATTATGAACCAGGCTCATTTATATTAAAACCAGATATCATCTCACTTATAAATATCAGAGGTTTGCTCACTTATGAATCAGGTTCATTTATTAAATCCGTTGTCGTTTTATTGAAAAAGAGGTGAAGGACAAATATTAACACACAGATGTATTTATGGAAAAAATGAATATAATAATTGTATATTTCCATAAATAAATAAGACAACACCTTTTCTTAAAAGGTTGTCTACTTTATACGAAGAAAAAACCTTTTTTTGAAAAGGCTGCGTATAACAAATAAAAGCAAGTAAATCTTTTTAATATCAAAGAAGGATACACAAATCAGAATTACTATCAACTTCAAATAGAGGAAATAATTCTTGTTCAAAAGTCTATATAAACAGAGATTTCAAGACAAAGAGAGCCAGTCCTTTGCAATCGAAGAAAAAGTGAGGTGAGACGAAGAGAGAGGCAGCAAAGAGTGTTTTTGTGAGTTTTGTTAACTTGTGAGTTTTGTTCTTAGTAAGATTGTAAGCTTGTGTGATTGTAAACACGAAGTGGGTTTGGTTTCTTGTGGAGAGAGGAGATTTGTGAGTAAGTTTGCAAGAAATGGGTTTGGCTTTTTGTAAAATTTGGAGAATTCGATTAGAGTTAATTGAAAATTATAATTGAGTAGAAAAAAGTAATAAAACGTAGTTGAGTTTTTCCTTCATTGAGATAGGAAGATTTTAGTTAAAGTATATTGTTTTAATTAACTCTTTTCTTAGGCAAATAATCAAGAACCTGATTTTTGATTTAGGGGTAAGGTTTCTTCACTTAATAAATTTCTACAAATTATAAATCACTTAACTACACTCTGTAACAAAGGCGCTAAAATATTAATGTCTCCCAAACTACACCCTCAATTGGGATAAAGTATCCAATGTCAAAGAATAGTAACCCAACAAGGTTGGGGTTGAATCTCACAAAAAGCATGGTGAGAGATATTTTATAATGTTCTATTGAAACCCAAATTAGTGAGTAATATTGGAGTTGGAGTATGAATGGGAAATCAATTATTAACTACTTAACTACCTATTTTGAAATCACGAATAAGAGATGACCTAGGGTTACAATTCTTAGATACCAAAACTTAAACAAATAATTTGCCATCAACTCTTCAAGGAGTCCATTTTACAAAATTGAAGAATCTATGATCTCCTAAATCCTCAGACTAATTAAGAGAATATCTCCCTTACTCCATGCTGACACTTGTATGTTTAATTAATTTATTTTATTCATCAAATGTCACGTGTTAGTTATTTTATCTTTTAACTTTAACTATTAGGTGGAGGTTGGTGTGTAGTTCTTAATTTTTGTTAATGATTATTTTTCCTAATTTTAATCTCTTTTATCATGATAATAAGAATACACGTGAATTTTTAATATATACAAACATTAATAACAATCATTATTCATGAACCATAATACACAATGAGCACCCATTTATGAGAAGACTTTGATGTAAAGAATTTATTATCATCATCCCTACTCTAAGAGACTCTTTGGCATTGTTGTTTGGAGCCTAGAAGCACTTATTATGAGACAAAAATACTTGTTTTTTTTTAAAATGTGTTTGATAAACTTGTAAAATTGCTTTTAAACAGCAGCAGAAATAGGTTTTCTATTATTGGAAAGAAGATAAAATTTTCTGATTTTAAAAAAGGAAAAAAGGATAAATATACCCCTGAACTAACGTAAATGGTATCTAAATACCCTTCATTATACTTTTAGGACATTGATGAGCTTACCGTACAAATTTTGGGCTTGTATATACCGTTTGATTTAATAGAGAGACACAGGTCATATCTCAACGGTCTATACAAAATTTATTTTATTTTTTATTCATAACT